GATATAAAATGTCATCACTTCATAATTTTATCCTGTTAGACATTTGTGTCATAATCAGTGTATGAATTCATGAGTTATGGCCAAGAACGTGTTTTGTGAGGTCACAGTGACCTTGGACTTTGACCTTTGACCTCTCTCCACCAAAGTCTAAACAGTTCATCCCTGAGTCCAGGTGAATCTTTGTACCAAATTTGAAGGAAGAGAAACATAAAGCCTTCTGTCTCACAACAACACAAACATTGAGTGAAGCACAGGTACAGATGTGGACATTGACCACGTCACCATGACGACAGGGACACAGACACTGCTCCACTGAGACATACAGGGAAAATGATCACACACAGAAACAGAGACAGGTTTTGCTTTATTTAAATTTCACTAAATGTCACTTTTATTTCATTTTTTTTATTTTGTAAAGAAACTGTTTCCTTTTTCCTGGTGTCACTGTAGCTCTGGACCTGGTGGGACCAGGACTGGGTCATGAAGTCCTGACCTTGACTGTCTCCTTTATGCCTCACACAGGTAAAGCAGGTCCTGGTCCTGGTCCTGGTCTCGGTCCTTCTTTGTGTCTCATATTAACACCTGTTGACAGGTGGAACAGGACATGAGTGGGAGTCGACCTGACGCCATTATCATGTCCTTGAAGCACAAGGTGACAGAAACACAACACACCCAGTGACTCTGACCTGCAGTCATAAAAACACACAACCATTAACAGACTGATAAGAGGGAAGTCAGAGTCCTGCTGCTTCACTCTCAGTCCTGTTTATTACAGCTGTCAATCATCAGTCTGAAAATACACCTTCATAATATCACATCTTCATCTACCTACAGATAACATCATCATCATCAGCTTCTATTGTGACGACAACAGCACTTGATGTCACGGATCACCGGCAACTCGCACAAACTGTCAACAAAATGTGTTTTCAGAGGACGGCGGTCTGCCTCTGGCCCCACCCATCACCTGTCAACCCTCACCTGCTGTCTTCTGCTGCATGTTGTCGGATTAGTCACCAGGGGACATAAGACTTTATCAAGCAGAGGGAAATGAGAGAGTTCAATATGAACACAGAGTAAACACACTATAATAATAATAATAATAAATAAGGATAAAATGTAAATGAACAGTGATTTAGTTTCATTTAGGAGAGACAGACGATATGAAGAGTCCACACCAGGACTGGATCAGGACAGGTTCACACTTTCAATCCAGATCACAGATGAGAAGAGAAACTTTCCTTCTTCAACAAGTGAGTTTACGAAGCACAGAACATCATCACCTTCAGCATCATCCTCCGCAGTGAATCAGCAAGTAACTGTGGTGAGACATGGACCATGAACTGTAAAGAGGAACAAGTCTGGATTCTTCTAAACAAACTGAGGGACCAGGACATGTTCAGATGTAAACTCCAAAGACCATCTGTGGAGAAACGTGGAGATGAAAGCTCACAGACACTTCCTGTCCAGTCTAAATCTAAGAGGATCTGTCAGAGGGACTGAGATGAACTGATACAGATCCAGGTTCAGAGACTCAAGAAGACTGAAGCTGGACCTGCTGCTGGAGCTCATATAGAACCAGTGAGTCCACAGACCTCCAGGACCAAGATCTAACCAAGTTTACTGTGGTCTGGAGAGCTGGAGACAAACTGACACAGCAAAGAGAAGAATCCACTCTGTTTCTGCCTTTTTCATTTATGAGCTCTTATTTCGATGCTCAACTTCCTGTTGATTGTCTTTGATGTGTTATTTAAAGCACTTTGTGTATGAGATGAACTGTACAAATAAAAACTCACAGCTGACCATTTTATCACAACATCCCTGCTTCAAGTCTGTCCCCTCACTTCCTGTCTCTGCCTTCACCATCAAATACTGGCCCAGAGAGACGTTTCATTATCTTATAATAATCTGACTCAGTGTCGTATTGAAGCTGCTGAATCCATCGTGACTGACAGAAATGCCACAGGTTCAAATCCCATGGGCCTTAACATCACTTCCTTTTATAAAACAATTCATTTATTGAATTTTCCAAAACCAGAATAAAAGAGAGTAATTACTTGATATGAAATAGGTTAAAAAAAAGAAAAAAAAGAATGAGGTACCAGATGAGTAAACCCACAGAGGGTTGGTATCTCTTCTTTCAGACAGTTAAAAAACCAGGACACTGTGTGTTAATCAATAATCAATAGAGCTGATGGTATCAACAGTGTGTTAATCAATAATCAATAGAGCTGATCAGTAACTTCCTGATCAGTTGCTCACTGTAGTTCTTATCAAATGTCACTCAGTCAGGAGGAAACGGCGCATTTGTTAGGGACTATTTTCAGTGAAGGATTAATCCACATTTGAGAGTTAGTGACAGCCAATCACATGGTGAGGTTTGTTTTGCGGCTGTGAAAGGGTTAATGAGCAGTTAACCTGTGACACGCTGGTTACCTGTGACAGGTGTACGTGTGGACTCATTAACAGAGCTGTCCTACAGAGGAGTCACCTCTGTCTCTGTCTGTGTCCCACCCCCTGCTCACCACCACTTCCTCCTCATAACTGCATGACTGCATCCTCACTACTACACCTGCACAGCCTGCTGAGGGAGTGGGGAGGCAAGCTGCCCCCGCCCACTCCATGTAGGACAGGAGGCCCACACTGACCTCTGGAGGTGTGACGTAGAATACTTCTTTACTGCAAGGCTGTCCCACAGGAGAGGGAAGTAATCTCTGCCCCCCCCCCCCGAAGTAGATCACCTGAGTGAGAACCAGGAAGTGAGGACTGCGGCAAACCTGGTGTCCTTCGGGAGCTCACCTTCAACTTTAGACTCAGGATTCTTCACAGACCTGAGAGTGGTGCTTATCTGTAAGCAGAGCCACGTTTACAACTCACAGTAAACCCCCCCTTCAGTGTTCTGCACAGTGTTATTAGTAGCAACAAAACATTTCCATGTACAACAGTGAACACACACAGAGGGACAGAGGGACAGAGGCAGGGAGAGGATCAGGTTTCCACTGTGTCCTCCAGATGTCAGCGGTGATGGAAAAGTACCGTCACCTCCAGCGGAGCCTCACATCTTTCTCTGGGAGAAGGGATTATACGATTAGCCTGTCCTCTCTTTCATTTGCTCTCCTCTGTCTCGTTCTTACGTCGAGCTGCAGAAAACTGCTGACGGGGACATTCCTTCAGCTGCTGCTGCACGAGCTCCGGCTCTGCACTGGCTCTGCACTGGCTCTGCACCGGCTCTGCAACGGCCAACATCAGGACACAGTCTGATCTGTCTGTTTACACTCAAACCTCACACATGCATTTCACTATGTGCGCAGCTGACTGCCGTCAAACATCTGTGCAACATCTGCCTTTCAGTCACTGGATCCTACACTTCGCATGATGCACTTCAACATTGTGTGTGCTTGTCAAACTCCACACCTCCAGTCTGTAACACTGGTTTCATGTTGTGAATGTGAAGTCTTGATGACATCACAATGACATCACCTGGGTTATTTCCTCACACCTCCACACGGGATGAGCTGAGAGGATAAATAAAGTGTCCCTTTAAGTAAAGGTTCAAACCTTCTCCTTCAGTTTACTGATGAAGACCATGAGATGTTTCTGAAAGCTCTGGAGGCAGCTGAGGATGAGGATATCAGCTGAGGACTGAGATGTCCGATGTGTTCGTCTTCATCTGTGACTCAGATGAAGATCAGATCAGATTTCATGACGAGGAGGTCTGGAGGTCTGAGGTCTCTGCGTGTGGAGGTGTGGAGGTGTGGAGGTGTGGAGGTGTTGATGCATGGAGGTCTGGAGGTATGGAGGTCTGGATGTATGGAGGTCTGGAGGTCCGGAGTTCTGGAGGTCTGGAGGTCTGGAGGTCTGGAGGTCTGGAAGTATGGAGGTCTGGAGGTCTGGATGTAGGTCTGGAGGTCTGGAGGATTCAGGTCCTCTTGATATAAAGGTTTCAGCCTCTGTGTTCATAATGTCCACAGAGGATTTAAAAGGCTCCTGGCTCTCAGTCAGGGGCCCCATGCTGCACTTCCGGAGCCACAGATCTCTATCAGCTCCTGGTGACCACAGTGAGGAGGCCTCTTGTTGCTATGGTTACAGTCACAGCAGAGCAGGGGAGGATGCTACCAGAAGAGGTTCAGCAGGTTCACTGGTGTATATGAGATTGAGTTGTTCACACAGTGTTATCAGAGGAGAGTCCTGCCACCTGGTGAGCGTCAGACTGAACTGACGTCAGCTAGAAGCAGCGCAGACTGTTCTCAGATCTGCTTCATAAACTCTTCTATGAATTAAAAACTGCTCATGTCCAGTGCAGTAGAGGGCAGTGCTGTGATCACGTAAGAAGAAGAAGAGCAGCACCATCCTTCATTGACACAAGGAAACAGTGTCCTTGAAGTCACTGCAGCTTCAGAGCGAGGGGGTGGGTGGGGGGTGTACCAGAGCAGAAAAGCTGGTACTGATCTGTTTAAAGAGACAGGACGACTGTATTAACTTCTAATATATGAAAGATGATAATGACAGAGAGACTCAGGTATGATGACATGTGAGATATGAGATACTGCAGTCATTGGCGTGAGGAAGATTAGGATGATGAGGAGTCAGTAGCTGCAGTGTCTTTGTGTGATAATCCTGGAGAGATGGAAACATGGGGACAGGGAGACATGGAAACATGGCAACTGCTGTAGGATAGATAGATAGATAGATACTTTATTTATACCCTAGGGGAAAATCATGTAAAACTGCTCTAAAACAAGAAGAAGAAGAAGAAGAAGAAGAAGAAAAACAAGAAGAAGAAGAAAAACAAGAAAGACAAGAAGAACAAGAAGGTAATATAACAGCTACTGGCAGGATAAGGAAACAGGGTGTATTTATGTATTAATTTATTTAAATCAGTATTCAGATGATTTAATGCATTGATTCCACCGAAACACTAGGTGGCGGTAATCATCTGTACAGCCGGTCTGCGACTCACTAAGAAACACAGAAGAAGAAGCAGCAGCAGCAGCAGAAGAAGAAGAAAAAGCCGAAGAAGAGGCATAATAGCCCCCCTCTCTGTCGTAATGATCTGGACACAGAGACAGTAAACGTGTACAACAAAAATAATCAGTATTTAGTTGTAGTGTAGAGTCAGATCCAACATGGACGTCTCTCTTTATCTGGCCGCTGCCGCTCTGCTCATCGTCCTCATCGTGTTCGTGTTGAAGGTCCGGAGGAAAACACAGGAAGGTGAGACTGAACTTATGCTAACTGTTAGCATCGTTTATCTAGCTGCTGCTTTAACACAGAGTCTGTCATACTCATTGACCTGGAGGCCCGGCGTCAGAGGTCAGATACAATATGAATATAACATCAGTGAATGTCTCAGCAGTGAAGGAATTAGCGACGGTTAAAGCTGACTCAGCTTAACTCAGCTTGACTACGTCACCTCTCACCTGTCACACATCTGGAACTTCCCTCCAGACATCGTGGAACCACTAAAACTAATGTAACCGAGTCCTGCTCCGTGTTGTATTCAGTTTTAAACGTGGATTTCTTCCATTATTAAAAGCCTGGTTGTTCTCAGGCTGTAGATACTGATGTGAAGTGGTTCTGTTTACCTGCATCTCCAGGGGAGCTGTGTTAACCACAGGAATCAGTGAGTAGAACAGTGACAGTGGTCTGTTGTATTGTGTGCTCAGCTGACCAGGAGCAGCGGCGGGATGTGGTCCGGGCGGCGGGGCCTCCTCCGCAGGCAGCAGAGGAGCGAGGAGCCGGGATGCCCCGCAGGAGGAGGAACATGGCGGCGGTGATGGCCAACAGACGACCACCACAGAGAGAGGCTGTGGAACACGGTAAACACTGTCACCTGAGACTGGGGCCAGACCAGGACCCAGATCAGGACCCAGATCAGGACTACAGAGTTCTCACATGTCTTGGAAAACACAGACTTTCCAGTTTGTGGAAAACTGAAACAGAAATTTACCAAACTCAGTAAAAAAACAAAACAAACAACAGATGTTGGTCTTGTGACATAAAGATGTGTGTGCTATCGATTCCAGAGGAGGAAGACGTGGATGAAGAAGAGCAGGAGCAGAACTTCCAGCCAACAGCGAGGGTCGGAGCCAAGAAGCAGAAGAAGCTGGAGGAGAAACAGGCCAAGAAAGCCCAGAGAGAGGTGAGGAAGAGAGTCTGCTCTCTGCTCTGAGCTGAGAGTTTGTTCTCACACAATGCATCACTGTTGAAGTTAACTGTGTGTTGTGTTGTTTGCAGGCGGAGATGGAGGAGAGGGAGGAGAGGAAGAGGATGCAGGAGCTCAGAGAGCAGGAGAGACGGCAGGAGGAGGAGAGGGAGCGGTTGCAGGAGCAGAAACAGGTCTCACTCTCTTACAACCTCCCCCCTCGCCATGAGGGTGAGTGAGGAGACGCTGACGCTGTGCTGTTTGTTTAGGAGGAGGAGGAGCGTAGAGCCAAAGAAGAGCAAGAGAAACGGGAGGAGGAGGAGTACTTAAGACTCAAGGCCTCGTTCATCATTGAAGACCAGGGAGAGGAGGAGCAGCTCAGTGAGGACCAGGTCAGATCAGTCTAGATCCAGATCCAGTTCTATCTCTGTCCTTTAATGGATTAAACTAATGTCTGTGTTCTTGACTTCAGTCTCGAAACATGCTGCAAGAATTCATCCAGCACATTGAGGTGAGACTGAGACCCCACACATCCAGACTCTACTGGACTACATGATCTCAGGATCTGACTCAGTGTCCCTTTGTCCTGCAGAGCTCTAAGGTGGTTCTCCTGGAGGACTTGGCCTCCCACTTTGGGATGAGGACTCAGGATGCGATTGCCAGACTGCAGGACCTGTTAGCTGAAGGCTCCCTCACAGGTCAGTGAGACCAGGGCTGGGGTTGGTGGAGTTGCTAAAGATGCTAGCTGTTAATTACTAACTGCTGAGGCTGCTAACTGCTAAAGCTATTCACTGCTAAAGCTGTTAAAGCTGCTCACTGCTGAAAAAGACAGAAACATGAAACATCAGTCAAACTTACTTTGTAGTTTCACCCAGTAAAACATACACTGATCTAACTCTAATATACACATTGCTGTAACATGATTCATGTTGCTCTAACGTGTTGCTGGACGTTGCTCTATGTTGCTTTAACATGTTGCTGTGTCTCCTGCAGGAGTGATTGACGACAGAGGGAAGTTCATTTCTATCACTCCAGAGGAGCTGGACTCTGTGGCTCACTTCATCAGACAGAGAGGCAGAGTCTCCATCACTGAACTGGCTCAGGCTAGTAACTCTCTCATCAACCTGACACCTGAGGCCCGCAGCACCGCCTGAGGGACCCCAGACCACCGCAGGACGCCCAGACCTCAGTCATCATAAGACTGCTGGAAAATAATCTGAACCCAGAACTGTGTCTCATAGTGTTTGTTCTTTTAAATACAGACCTGATCACGTTTCAGGACCTGTGCTCAGACCAGGACTTCAGTTTGATTCATGTCAAAGTTGATTGTTAAACTCATTGTCAGAGTGGCATTAAGTTAACGAACCATCAACATGAAAAACATACAGTTTGATTCCCGTTGTCATCTTTTCTCTGTTTGTTTCATGTCACGTGACCTTTGTGGTGGTTGTCATAGTTACAGTGAGGATAACACTGACTAGTTCGACATCACACCTCTCAGACGTCTACACCTACACAGAGCCCTGACCTCCAGCTGATCCAGGTCATCAGTGTCTACAGAATAGAGAGAAGCTGTTACCTTTTAATATAACTTCATTCATTTAGATGAAGAGTCAGATATTAACACAGTTGTTTCAATTAGATCCTTTCTCCATCAATCCATCCATCCATTCATTCATGGTTTCAAATCTGTAGTTTTAATTCATTCACAGTTACGTTAGGGTTAGTCTGTCATCACACCAAATATCTGGAACATTTACAACTAATCAACATGTAATTAACAGAAAACACATGTCATGGCTGATGACAGGCACAGCAGGAGGTTCACTTTAGGATCTGGACTCTGTTTTTTTTTTTTTTTTTTTTATAAAAGTCTCTGAAATCCAGAGTCCATCTCAGCTGGACCTGTCCTGGTCTTTATCATGGACCCTCTGTCCCCTCTGAGTCTGTTTTCCCTCAGTGATCTCCCATGTCGATGTGGCTCCCCGGTCCTGAGAACACATCAGTGCAAACTAGCATTAGCATTAGCAGTAGCATGGAGCTGCTATCTCAGTATTCCCACACTAGATGTGATACCTGTATGAGAACGCCCAATGGGGCCAGGTCACTCCTGAGGGAGTCACAGGCTCTGAGGAGGAGGGCTCTGTCTGTGGGGGGTCCAGTCTTTCTCGGGGTTCCGTTGGTTTGATCCTTCAGGTGCCCAAGGGCAAAAGCTCGGACTTCAGTCCTGAAGTGAGTCAGCTGCTCCACCACGGCCTGCAGACGGCTACCACTGCTCAGCAGGTCAGCCTGCTGCAGTTCAGAGAAGACAGGTGTTAGCTAGTAACAGGTAACAACAGGTAACAACAGGTGAGACAAATCATCTTCTTACCTGGCTGTGCAGCAGATCAACCCCAAACACATCCAGCACATCTGTCAGGTATCTCACCATGGCTCCAAACACTGCAGGGCTGCGAGCCGCTCCGCCACTCTGAGCACACACACATGTAGGATTAGAGTGTAGTTCCACCTGCAGGATCACGTGCAGTAAGAGTCAGTGAGTTACCGTAGAAACGGGCTGCAGTTGGCGGTTTCCATGGTAAACCATGTTCATCAGAGCACTGAGGGCTCTCGGCGTATCAAAGTCATCTGCCAGAGCTGTCAGCACACTGGATTTAGTCTCAGCCAAACTGAGGAAGACACGCCCCCTCAGTCAGATGGCACACAGGTAAAGAGAGAGAGAGAGAGAGAAGAAGAAGGCAACTACCTGTCCCACAGAACAGCTTCCTGTACAGGTGAACACTGCAGCTGACCAGTCATGTAGGCCTGAGCAGAGTGGATGAAGGTGGAGATGGTTCCCAGAGAGGAGCAAGCTGCCACCATGCTGCTGTCGCTGTAGTCTATGGCTGTGGAGACCAGACCCACAATGCATCAGGAGACAGGGAGGCTGTAGTGTGCCCTGGGTTAATTAAAATACTGGACAAACAATTAGTAAGATAATGAATTAAATTTGTAATCTTATTTAAGATCCAGATCTGCAAGCGTTACTCCGTATAGTTGCTATAAAACATGGAGGACATGTTTGACTGTCCTCTACCCTGGGGACAGGTTCATGTATAAAATAACAGGAGACACAGTTATATGATCCTTTCAGTTCAGTTGAGGTGTGTAGCTGTTATTTAGGTTGTCAAGCCTGATTGATATTGTACGGAAGAGGATTAAGGCCATGTGAATTCTTTTTTTTCCTTTGAAGAATTCTGAGATTAAACTCAGAATTGTGACTTTAATCTCAGAATTCAGAATTCTGAGATTTAAATCACAGTTTTGAGATTACAATCAGAATTTTGTCATAGTTAAATCTCAGAATTCTGAGTATGTGGCCCCAATCCTCTCCCATAATATTGTAATGTTATGTTATGTGTTGTGTTTATTATTGGGTTTGTTTAGTGTGACTTTGTGTTTTAAATCTTCTGGTTATTTATGTGTATATGTTTTTGTTCAATAATTTATTTTCTCACCTGATCTGTATTTAGTCAAGAGACAGAACATCCTGAACTCGTTGACAGAGTAAGACTGAAGGAAATCCTGATGGAGGACAAATAAAACACATGAATTCACTGATTTTTGTCAACTTTGTCTTCAACTGTTGAATTTCATTGTCTATGTCTTGTTTCACCCTCTAAGTGAATGTTCTGTAGCTTATTTAAGTGTCATGGAGAGATAAACTTGTTTTATGGTGTTGAGATGTTAATGAATCAAGTTCCTCTGTGGATGTATGTGAGCAGGTGAGTGACTGTACCTTGATGGTGATGTAGTTCTTCAGAGACTTAGACATTTTCTCTGAGCTGCCCTTCAGGTGTAAGTGACCTGGAAACAACAACAACCAATCAGGTGAAGAGAAACACTTCTATCTGTATAAATATCAATATCAAATCAATACTGTGTCTGCTAGTGAAGGGCGGAGTCTTAGTTCAACACTGAAAATAAAAACATGCTCCAAACTTGTTCTGATTCTGCTCGTGTGACAGTAACTGGAACCAGGACTTCATTAAAAACAGCTCATTAAGCAGACTCCCCCCCAGTCCTGTTACCAGAGGCCTGTGCTACGAAGCAAGTTCAACATATCCAGGATAACTTTTAGTTATCTGGGTTAACTGAACCTAATATTGACCATCCTGATAACCTGTACTATGAAGCAGGTTATCAACAGGCTCAGTTAACCCTGGGCTTACCTATCCTGTTATGAACATGTGACGCAGATAAAACAGTTAAAGATAATATCCAGGATCCTGTGTGAATGATGACTTAGTTTTTCCAGTGATTTGATTGGTCAGTAGTTTGGCTGTTGACAGGTTTTGATCGGATTCTCTGAAGTTAACCTGCGCCGGAGCAGGTTAGGAGTTCCCATGGTGATTTACCCTGGTAACAAGTGAACCACCGTTTTAGGACTGAAAACCCAGAGTTAAACCTGAAGTTACCTCAATAAACTCAAATCCTGCTTCATAGTACAGGCCTCAGGTGTACATGAGCCGATTCCTTCAGGAGTAAATACAGGTGTGATGGAGGGTTTACCTGAGTGCAGGAAGTAGTGAGCCCACTGTCCACACTGGTGATAGGCCTCACTCTGAGCCACCTCGTTCTCATGGTGAGGGAAGGCCAGGTCGATGCCTCCAGAGTGGATGTCCAGCTGACTGCTCCAGTGATAGCTGCAACCAGCACACACACACGCACGCACGCACGCACGCACGCACGCACACACACACACACACACACTCAGTCTGAGAAGCAGCAACTATAAAAGTGACTAGTGATATATATTATCAATAATTCTAGATTATCAATAAATGTCTTATCAATAGACTTAGATTATCACTAAATGAATGATCCTGAATCCAGACCTGGCGATGGTAGAGCACTCGATGTGCCATCCAGGTCTTCCTCTGCCCCACGGGGATTCCCAGTACGGCTCCTCAGGCTTGGACCGCTTCCACAGAGCGAAGTCCCTGGAGTCCCGTTTGCTGGAGCTGCCTGGAGGATGTAGGTTGTGGTCCATTAGCCAGGCTCACGCTCACCCTACTTCACTCAGTATGCGAGGGTCTCACTTTAATGAAGAATACCAGATACTAGTACTGACCAGGTTCTCCCTGAGAGTCCACAGCTCCCATGAACTTGCCGTACCGATCCCCGATGGACTGAATGTCAAAGTACACGTCACCTGTAACCAGAGCAGACCATAGATGATCACCCAGCTGCTACACGTCACCTGCAGGTGTGTCAGTGCGTCAGGTACACTCACCTTCCTCAGTGGAGTAGGCATGTCCGTTCCTGATGATCCCTTTAATGAAGGAGATGATGTGGTGAACGTTTTCAGTGACTCTCAGGTAGACCACAGGAGGAACCACCTCAAACACAACAACACGAAGACCTGTTTACAGGATTCAGGATCATAGAGAGTCCACAAGACACCACAGATCCAGGGAGTCTGGACTCAGAGCTCAGACACGGGTCTCTGCTGGACTCAGAGCTCAGACTGAGGGACTCTGCTGGACTAGACTCAGAGCTCAGACTGAAGGAGTCTGGACTCAGGACTCATACTCTACTTGAATAGAATTAGTTCTATCAGATAATCAATACATTAATATATAATCAATGACCTGAGGACAGACCTTTAATGACAGCATGTCCCTCTTGAACTCGTCCTCATACAGTCTGGCGATCATGGTTGGAGACACGTTCTCCTACAGACACAGAGACAGTTTAATAAATCAAATCAGTCCTGATCAATCTATCACTGATAATCGATCTCACCTCCCAGCCTCTCCTGATGATCTTATCATCGATATCTGTGATCACCATTGCGTGGATCACTGTGACTCCGAACATCCGGGAGAGAATCCTCTGCAGGAGGTCAAACCTGACGTACGAGCTGCGACAGGACACAGGTGAGGTTACTCACACACCTCTACAGTGTTCGTCTTGTACCTGACACAGGTGTGTTTATGTCTTTACCATGCGTGACCCAGGTGGGCGTGATCGTAGACAGTGGGTCCACAGCTGTACCTGAAAGACAGCACATGTACAACACTGTGAGGTTGTTGTTACACCTGTATAAAGGTGACGTTACACTGAGTGTGTCGTACCAGGTAGCCACGCCCTCTCTTGCAAGGATGAGCGGCTCTTTCTGTTTGGTCAGGCTATTGAAGGTCTTCAACCCGGTGTCAAACCCGCTGGGTTTGGTCCATGTCCTCCCTGAAACCCCGCAGCAGGACCTGTGTGATCCGGCTCCGACAGTGTAGATTAGCCGGGCTCTGTTGAGGAGCTTAGCCCTCCAGACCACCGTCCTCACCGGGCTCCTCCACATCCTGAGAACACGCTTAGCCTAGCCGCTCGGTTAGTTGACACCTGTAGTGTTAGCAGCTTCTTCTTATCCTTTGGTGTTTTACGGCAGTTGGCATCCAGTGTTGCATTACCGCCACATACAGTTTACTCTCCCTCAATATCCATTCATTACAAATCCATTTTGCAGTTCCAGTGTTAGCAAACAACCTCCAGTATTAGCAAACAACTGAATGTTAAATAAACTACGCGCTGCTTCAACACGTTCCTGTCACCTCCGGACTTCTCGCGATAGTCTGATACCGGAAGTGTTCTCGCGTATCATGTGACTTCTTGCTGGCTGTGCTACTGTGCTTTAGCAGCTATGTCAAAATAAATACACGCTAATTGAGAGCGGACGGTTTGAGACGGAACTGACGGTTCATCCCTAGAGGAGCGGACAGGATGCAGAACGTGATCAACACGGTGAAGGGCACCGCGCTTGGAGTGGCCGAGTTCCTCACCCCGGTGCTGAAGGTAAACTTCCACTGCTGGAGCTAGCTTGTTGATAGGTGGTGGCTAGTATGAGATGTCGTAAACACACGAACAGATGACCACAGGTGTACAGTTCCTCACAGTAACGTGCTCCACAGGGTTCAAGGTGTCAGTGTTAGCTAAAGCAATAAGCAGATAGGAGCTAATTATCGATTATCGATTCATTTTACACAGCTGCGTTATTGCTAATGTTCCCCTCTGATTCAGTTTTGGTTTTGTTATTGATCACAGGAATCTAAATTCAAAGAGACTGGAGTCATCACACCTGAGGAGGTATTATGTATATTATATATATGAATATATATTACATCTATAAATACTCAGCCTGTTTGATTGTGCAGCTCAAACCTCTGTGTGTCTCAGTTTGTAGCAGCTGGAGATCACCTGGTTCACCACTGCCCTACGTGGAAATGGTGAGTGTCCACACACAGATATTAACTTTCCATGGTCAGATCACATGACAAGTTATTGATATCAGTTCGGATATTGATACCTTGATTATTTTTTTCAATACAATCCATTTTAACAAAAATAAAATTACAGTACACATGTTAGTTTTGCTTTTACTTTTATTTTGAAGCCCTGTCTCTTTACTCTCTCAAACAGGTAAATAAACAGCCATTCACCAACATTGTTAGATCTTGGACCAAGCATGCTGTATACTGATTGGCTCACTCATTTACTCCTAAGATATTGACATTTTTCGATTAATCAATAGTATCAAACCAATAAAAGTATCAAAGTTTGATACCCAGCTCTACTGACATGTCTGTTATATGATTATAAACATGATTGATGATTGGCACAGTGGTCACATGATGAAGGACTGTGTGTGATTGTCTAAACCTCTGCCACTCATTGATTGATTGATTGTGTCTCTTAATACAAACCTTTGCTGCTCTGGAACCTCTGTCAGTTAAAACACTTCACATTCAGCCTGTGTTACTCTTTAGAATCAGTCTGAACAGTTAATCTAAATATGATCAAAATCACATTATGGTCCAGTGCAGCATCCACATCACAGATGAAACGCGCAGCAGCCAGGGGAGGAATTTCACGGCAGCCATGACGTTTCCTTGCTGCTGCTGCCTCTTAATGCTTAATGTGCAAGTTCAATTTCCACATACGTCTCTGCATGTGTATAATGCTGCAATATCATAACTGATCTCAGAACAGTATAAGCTTCAGTTCTTGTCAACGGGACACGGCCATCAAAATGACAGAAACTACACTCACAATATTTGACTTTAATAACTTTACAATGCAAATGATTTATGTGAGTCTGACACTTGAAGACTGTTCTTACTTTCACCTGCTGAAACTTTCTCTGAAATGAAATATATTTACATATTTATAGATTCTGGTAGATTGATACATGATCACATGATGCATATTAAGTGAATAATTTATGATTTTTATGTCATTTGTGTTATTTTCTGGTTTGTTTCCTATTAAATAGTCAAGTTATTTATTTAGGCATCAAGTCACTCAATGGCTTTCTTGCCCTAAAAATAATTTCTCTTAAAATGACCTGGCCTGGTCACAACCATTATACATGAAGCAGTGTGGTGTTACAGAGAGGCCCCCGCATCTACAAGTCATGTTCTCCAGATATAAGGGAACAGAAATCACATCATCATCATTTTATATTTGAATGACTCGGTGTCTGTTTTCAGGTCGTCCGTCAAGGTATCGTTATAGTGAGCATGATATCTCAGGAACACCTCGAAAGAATGAATTCAAATTTAGTACAAACATACACCTGGACTCAAAGATGAACTGGGTCAAAGGTCAAAATACTCAAGAATTCATCCAAACAATTTAACTCAAATGTTTATAAGGATAAAATGACGAAGTCATGACGTTTTATATCCAAAAGGTCAAAGGTCGACTTCACTCTGACATCATAATGTGCAAAAACAATTCAGGGGCCAGTTGCACAAAACACCATAAGTTCAGATTTTCCTTAAAGTCTGAGTTAAGGTTTCTTTAAAATACAAAAAGTTGCTCAAAACACCTTAAGTCTGAGTTAAGGTGTCACAAGTGCTAATGGCAACAAATTAATTGATTTATTTTTCACATTGTTCAGCTTTAAAATAAAATAAATATGAAAACAAACCTAGAACAGTTTATAAAACATGATATTAAAGTGATATTAAAGTCAGGACATGTTGAACCAGAGCTTTCAGTGACAGTATGATAAGAAATATAAAAGATAACATATTATGTTTCTGATTTTCCTCTGTCTTCAGGGCCACAGGGGAAGAGGTGAAGGTGAAGCCGTATCTGCCTCAGGATAAACAGTTTCTGCTGACGCGCAATGGTGAGATTCCTTTATTATCTGTGACCATTAACAGCTCTTCCATGAATTCAAAAGTTCTCCTGCATTTAATCTATGTGTTTATACTGTTTTCTTACAATGCTTTTTGCCTCTATTTTCAAACGTCTTTTATTTTCTGTCAACCACATGGAGTGACCGCTGTTTTTTTTTGTTTTTTTTTTTAATTTTTTTGGGGCTTTTTGTGCCTTTAATGGACAGGACAGTAGAGAGATAGGAAATGGGGAGGCAGAGAGAGGGGGAATGACATGCAGGAAAGGGCCGTCCGAAGCGGGAGTCAAACCGGGGGCCAACTGCAGCGAGGACTGTAGCCTCTATATATGGGTCACCTGCGTAACCCACTGCGCTACGTGACGCCCCGTGACCGCTGTTTTTGATAATGTGCTGTACAAAAAGATATGCCTTGCCAGTGAAGTGACTTTAATTTACATGCTACTGGCTACATGTCTTTAAATGAAAGAAAACATTTTTAAATCACAGTGTTGGTGAAAAATAACTTTACATTAATGTTGAAATGGGATATATGAAACATAATAAATGTAAATAATGAAATGCAAGACTTAATGGTCCTGTAATCGTTTTGCAGCTCAGTTTTTAAGGATTTGATCTATTAGCTCATTTTGTAACTTCTAGTGAACTTCCTGTTTCAGTTGTCAGAACTTGCAGACTTATTTGGTCTTTTTAAACATCCTGTACATTTATTTTGACACCAATAAAAATATATTATTTTAGGAAAACCTATATTATGTCTTTGTGATATCAAACCCTTATTACAGGGTCACCACTGAACTCTGAACTTCCTGTTTTGTGTGTCTTACCCTCCTCTGTGTGTGTGCACGCACTCTGAAGTTCCCTGTTACAAGCGCTGTAAACAGATGGAGTATTCAGACGAGCTGGAGGCCATCATAGAGGAGGACGATGGGGACGGGGGCTGGGTGGACACTTACCACAACTCAGGTCAGACACTCCGTCTCTCAGTGTCCACACACTGCAGTCGTCCTGATCCTGTCAGTGTCAGACACCTGTGTGTGTGTGTGAGACTGACATGAGGGAGGGATAGAACCTAATTATATTTCAGTATAAAATTTTACTTCATAATTTTCTAAGCTGAAAAAGAGGTCAGGGGTCAGAGCTTAGAGATCCTGATTCTCCACTGTTTTCCTTTTTATATTCTACTAATACTGTCTAATTCCCAGAATATTCCAGATACAAACAACTGGATATCATCAGATAAGACTGCTGCTGAAACACATTGATTATCAGTTCTAGACTGAAACTTATTAATGAACCTCTGCAGCCTGGTTTAGTTAGATTATCCACTTATTTTATTGTATCTAGGTTGTAAATTGTATTTTATTCAATTTTTTCTGTTTTTTATTATTAGTGTTCTTATGTTTTTTTTTGGTTTCCTAATGTTTTTAATCCTATTTTATTGTATCTCTTACTTTCTTACTTTATTTGTCATTTTCTTTTTAGCTCATTAAATATGTGAAGCACTTTGAACTGCACTAAACCATATGAAAGTGTTTTACAAATAAATTTTGATTGAAACGATTTAATTAAGACCGTTTCTTGACACTTTCAGAGGAAATAACTCTCACAGTGTTTTAATGTAACAGATTCATTGGGAATAAACATGAGAGACATTAACATGTGTGAAGAAACAACAAAGGTAATTTGAATGTGTTCCTGCAGGTGTGTCAGGAGTCACAGACGCTGTACAAGAAATTTCACTGGATAATAATAAGGTAAGTTTCCTGCATGTTTGATTATGATGTGAAATCCAAACAGTATCAGTAGTATCAGACCTGCTCGGGTTCACAGGAGCAGGGTTTCATGTTCATGTGGAGGGAACACACGCTGATGCTTTTGACCATGTCCCATGGTCTTCTTCAGCAGGTTTAATGTCCCTCCTCAGGTTCATAAAAACAATGTTTGGATTGTTAATGTTTAAAATCAACCTTTTAATCTGGAATCCCTCAGGACAAGAATATGAACGCCACATCTGCATCACCTGATGATGATGACGATGAAGATGATGATGAAGATGGAGAAGCAGCAGATATGGAAGGTACTGATGTGGTAGCAGTGGTTGTTTATCCTCCTCACAGACCTGCAGTGTAACTGATGGTGTCCCTGTCCTTTCAGAGTACGAGGAGAGCGGCCTGCTGGAGACAGATGAGGTGATGCACACAGCTACAAACCTATAAACCTACACAGATTCACAGCTACAAAGCTACACTGCCTCACTGCTACAGAGCTTCATGGCTACACCAATTCACATATTCACAGCCTCACAGATTCACTGCTTCACAGATTCACAGCTACACACCAACACAGCTTCACAGCTAAACAGATTCGCAGTTAAACAGATTCACAGCTACAGAGATTCAAAGATTCACAGCTACACAGCTTTACAAATTCACAGCTACACATTTATCATGTGATCTAATATCAATAATCATTCGTCCAGCTGCTGACACCTCTGTCCTGTCTGTAGGCAACGCTGGACACCAGTAAGATGGTAGAAACTAAAGTTAAAGCAGAGCCCGGGAGTGAAGATGCCATCCTTCAGACCAGAACATACGACCTGTACATCACCTACGACAAGTACTACCAGACCCCCCGACTCTGGCTCTTTGGATATGATGAGGTATGGACCTGAGGACAGTTCACGCTCAGTAGAAACATGGAGGGGTTTAAGACCTACTACAGTTATAGAACTCCACTTGTTTGATACAGAATGACATAGAGTTGATATTCTTTACAAAGTCACTGAGACCCCTTTTCCACCAAAATGAACCTAGTGCCAGTTCTGGGCTGGTGCTAGAGCTGGTACTTAATTGGTTCAACTTGTGAACCTTCTAAGAACCAGTTTGCTTTTCCGTGGGCTAGAGAGCCACAACAGTTATGTCATGATGTCAGTTCATACGTCTCCATTTTCTCAGCAACGCTCGCGCCTAGCAACAACAATGGCAGATCACATTGTAGCGTTGCAAGTGTTGCTCCTGGCTTTGCGAGCCTACATTGGTATGCAAACACAGTTGGTCCAACATCATATTTCGTGTGTGATACCACTTGCTTTTTAAAAATGGCGGTCATCAACTTTTGGTTGGTCTTGTAGGACGCAGTAACCCCGCCCCAGCCCCTGACGTAAGTGGTTCTTCGTTCTAGACCTGTTCTTTGTCTGTCGAAACAAGAAAAACCAGTTCCAACTTTGGCACTGGCTCCGAACCAGCCCCAGAACTGCATTGGTGGAAAAGGGGTAATAGACAGCACTAAAGCTGATGTGGTGTCTCTAGGACAGACAGCCCCTGACTGTGGAGCAGATGTACGAGGACATCAGCCAGGACCACGTGAAGAAGACGGTCACCATAGAGAACCACCCCCACCTCCCTCCACCCGCCATGTGCTCGGTCCACCCCTGCAGGTGAGACACACTGATAGGTTCGATTTAGATGATGTCATAACTAATATTATTACATTATTAATCACAAGACAAATGGAGCACTCTGCTGTTCCTGCTGTAGAGAGAAATGTTCCAGAACTTCAAACCTCTGAAGTGACACTGGTAATTCAAGTGTCCAGTGTGGCAGAGTCTATGACAGAATCTTTATGAAGAAAGTCTGACACAGCCTCTGCTTCACTTTCAGAAATCTGTTAATAACTGTTATCTGTTGTGTCATATACTGGTGTTTGATGGTGTGACTGTGCGAATGTCACCTTTACTTCCAGACATGCTGAAGTGATGAAAAAGATCATAGAGACGGTGGCGGAAGGAGGAGGAGAGCTGGGCGTCCACATGTATCCTTTCACTGTGATAACCTGGTTCATGCTTCTTTGACACTTCTGCTTTATTGTGAAGGTTTGGGAGGACTTGGATCCTGTTCTTCCTGTTGCTGCTGCACCCGATTCTCTCTATGGCAGAGGAAATGTAAATTGTGTGAAAAGCAGGTGTAGAATAAACAGCAAAAAAAGAGAGAGACTACTAACCAATGTCAAAAAAGTGAGCTAGAGAAATGCAAATTAAAAGATTTATTTATTACATAGTTATTTATAATATGATTTATAATAATATATATGACGGTTATTCAGAAACAGTCCAGTCAAAGGAGTTTATAAAGTCTGACCAAAAATCATTCAATGATCTTTAAGAGGCACTCTTCAGAGAGCACCTCCTTTTTTTTTTTTTTTAAAAAAAACCCTACCATGTCTAACTAGTACTTTTGTTGCACTTCCTTATACAATCTCCTTTGCTCTTTTTAAATACATGTAGTATTTCGTATTTGCACCAAGGTCTCCTGCTGCACTGAAGCTTACTGATGTGCGAGTGACTCTCCACTGGAGTACAGGTCACAGTCTGCTGCTCTTAGTTCAACAGTAGTTTGACTTTCAAAGAGACAGTCCTGGCACTCTGCTTGCTGAATGTTTACCTACTTGGCGTAGGGTTTTATGTAGGATGACCTTCCTGACCCAACCTGGGTTCTGGTCAGTTGGAGAATAACAACATCAGCCTCTACTGGAGCTTTAGACTAATACAGATTCTGACCTTATCCCTACTGTTGACAAGGATTCTACTCATTCTACTGGTCATTTACATGTATCGTCTTCATTTGAAGCAGTTTGTGCCAGTTCCCTCCATGTTCCTCTGTTTTCTTTAACTGTGACTTTCAGGTATCTTCTGATTTTCCTCAAGTTTGTTCAGGCCGTCATTCCCACAATAGAATATGATTACACAAGACACTTCACCATGTAGCTTCATCAGTGCTCTGCTTCTGTACATGGGAGAGATCAGAGATTGGATCTGGTCTGCTCTGGTTCCAGCTGTTTTGTGGAGTGTTTGTGTTACTCTGAGACACTTTGTGTGGGTGCAGGACATGGGGAATGTTCAAGGTGTGTGTTAAAGAAACAGTCTGATGCTTTGGGAAACAGGCTTGTTTCCATGAAACCCAGAGTCAGGTAAGGACATGAATAGGTTTGTATTTAACCCACAGAAAAATAGAAATGTAAAGACAACACACTTGGATATATTTGTAAGTAGCTAGCTATCTAATAATAGTTTGAGAGACTAACCATATCCTGGACATATCTGTGTACTCGACACACACAGATGAAACTGATCTGTCTTCTCCTCTGACTCCGGGTATGACTGCAGACAAGTCTACGTCCCAAAAGCCGGACTGTACCTCTGCTGTTTCTCTCCAGGTTTAATGTTGTGACCACAATGTGGTGAACTCTCACAAAGTTCTTGTTAAGAAGATTATAAAACTCACCACATTCCACACTTCTTGCTTCTCTGCTTCAAATTTCATTCAATGAATTAACCCCGGTCGTGCAAAGTGTCGGTTCCTTGACTTTGTAGGAGTTAGACGGGCTCTGGAGAACAGCCTGAACAGTGACCTTTAGCTCCTGCCTTCACTCTGAGAAACACAGAAATAAAAGCTGCATTAAGTGTTTTTATGTTTCATTCATTTTGATGTGTCCAAATGATGAATGTAAGTCCAATACTCACTCTCCTGTCGGCTCTGGTTTTGGCTCTTTAGCTGCTAAATGCTACACTGTGTTCAGCTGCTCGCTTACTGAACCAAAGCAGGTAGAGAGGACTTTTACTCTGCTGCAGCCTTTAGTCATCTTTTTGTAGACAACAGTTCAGTGTTAAACTACAAATGATATTCAGAAAGAATTGGACAGCTTTTGGTAGCAAATGTATGTACCTTGCTACTTTATAAAGCCTCTCTGAACTGTTGTACCTGATGGCAGCATTGGTAAAAGCTTCTTTGTTCCCATGTGTATTGCAGTGATTATTATTGCTTCCATGCTAATGCACTTTGCAGGAATCATGGCTGAAGCTCATTGTTGTATATCAGCTCTTTCTGCCAGTTTGTCTTAAACTCTGTTCTCTGAATGTGTTGATGTTCCAGCCCTGACACTCACCCATGGTTCCTGTGGTTGGCTTACAAGCTTTTTGTGTTTTACTTCAAACTTGGACAGTCTTCTCAGCTTGTGTCAGAACCTTGAGACCTTTTTTTCAGTCTTGCTTTTACAAATGTGATGTATTACTACTTGTTGTCTCTAAGAACTATTTTAAGGTTGGCTGTGAGCTCCATCAGCAGCATTCTTCTTGGTGGACATCACTAAATCCTTCAGTGACTCTCTGGGCTGTTCTGTTTGTTATAAACTACAGTTGGCTCATTACAACAACCTGTTCCTGACAGTACTTACTCTACTAAATAAAGCATGGGCTTCAGTGATTCTTGCTTTACTTTCCATGTCGTCTGTTGGTGGGATAAAGTATTCACTCTGTGTCCTGATGTAACCTGCTCAGTGGTAACACCTGAACATTTTAAAGTAATGCACATTTATCAATAAAGAGTTTCCCAAATATTGTAAACAGAAGGATATGTGTGTATTTATTCTTTGGGGCTGGGGAGGTTTCGTGGGAGTGGTGAAAGCAATGATCTCAAATCCTTCCAGGTAGCCTATTGTGACTGTGATATGAGTCACGATTTTAATGGGAATGGTAGTTTTTTCATTGTGTTTTCACTGAAAAAATATGTATATATATATATATATAAAAATTATGATGATGTGATTTTCTTCCTGGGATTTATACCAAAAACGAACGTAGGGTACGTCCTTGTTTGGTAACACAATGCTTTATTTATAATCACTGGTGTTCTAGAGTCAGTTGGCACCTCAGGCAATCAGTGTTCATCACCATTGTTGGTAAATAATCTCACACCAACAAAAAATGTATGAAATCTAAACATTTTTTATAAATCCAAATGTTCACGTTAGTAGAAATAACTAAATAACGTCAATGTTGTCACATCGTAAATAACCCACATCATAAGACCAGTGCTCATCAACAGGTAAAGCCCTTTAAACCTTTGTTTAAGTGGGAGGGAGCCACATTTTGAGACATTGCTGTGGAGTAAAGTGTGTCGTGTCGTCCATCCATCCATCCATCCATCCATCCATCCATCCATCCATCCATCCATCCATCCATCCAAATCTAATCTAATTTAATCAAATCTAATTTATCCACAGTGAGACCACTTGGTGGCGGTATTGCGCCTGAACCTCCAGCAGTGTCAACCGGTTCCTCCACAGAAGAAGCCGCCTGTTAGCGCTCTCATTCCAGTGACTGTGTGTGCGTCAGTGGAGGTCGTGCTGCTCCAACATGTCTGTCCTGTACCCCACTCTCCTGCTCTGTGCCTATGGCTTTTTCTCCAACCTGCGGCCGCTGGAGCCCTTCCTCACCGCCTACCTTATGGGACCGGACAAGAACCTGACCGAGACTCAGGTGAGTTAGCTTAACGGCTACTGAGCAGTTAGCACCGGGTGATCACCGCAAAGTGAGTCGGATTAGAACTTCTGAACTGAATTATTATTTTTATCATTTAGATATACATTATTTTATTAAACCCTCCATTGAGTTGCTCCTTTCCGCAGCAGTTTAATTTAATAATATTTTATATTACTGTTCTTTTGTTTTGTTTTGTTTTTTTTTACATAAGGCTATTCTGAGACTAAACCACAAGAAAGACATAAAACTGACACTTTATTTATTGTCAAATAATATTTTTGTCTCCTGGTTATAAGATAAATGTTAACTTGTGTATGTTCTGTCATATAAAGCCTGTGTTGAAACGTTTACAACATTAACTCAGTGTAGTAAACGTGAACATGCACGACCATCATCCAGGACAGGTGACCACGTGGTGCTGACAGATCATCCATCCATCTATCCACCTGTCTCCATCACTATGTGTCTTACACTAACAGGATTTATTATAACACTGTGATGGCGTCTGTAAGTTGTCTGCTTATTCAGAGCTGTGAGCAACACAGACTCATTTCCATTCATCTCCATTGTGTTAGAGCGGAGGATGATAAAATCTGAGAGACAGATAGAAACCTTTTCTTTATTGTGTCGAAGTCTGTTTCCCCATTGAGATGTGCCTACCCAGTTGTGTTTCCTGTTGCCCTCTCCCTGTGGTTGGGGTTAGGATAAGGTGAGGTTCAGGTTAGTTTGCGGAAACGGAGGAAACTGTCCCTGTCTGCTCTCCCAACATGAGTTCCCTCTACGTGTCTGTGTGTGTTTCCCATGCACACCATTTGACATCTTATTTTACTTCCTGTGGTTAGGGAGTTTTACAGTGTAATTGTAGTTCCTGCTCTATCACAGCAGCAGGTACAGACGGTGACCGATTAAAGGAGAGACCTGACAAATGGATGACAATGTCTCCATCCACAGGTCACTGGAGTCACTGATGGGTTGATGAATATGTAAATGATGTGAATAATATGTTATTACCTTCAGTTACCTGATCTCAGTGTGGGAGATTGTGGAACTACATCATCAAAACTCTAAATGCCACAGTTCATTTTATGTTATTTTAGATTTAAATAGTGAAACTGTCTGTTTCATTACTTTATAATAATGATATAAATATACTAGTCTGTTAGAATGAATGAGAAATAAAGAAAAATTAAAAATCTGCTTCAGTTTTAGTCAGACAGACAAGATGAATATAAACTGTTTCCACTGACTCTGAAAACCTGAATAGACCAGACCTGTTTACCAGGAAAAGGTTCGGTTGGAGATACTTTAATGAAGGAAATGATTGTTTTGTCATTTGAATGAACTGAGCCTTTAAAATCACCTCTCAGCAGTGTGGGTAACTCTCACCATGTCTTTACACTGATGAGATGTTACTTTAGAATAAAGCAGTGATGACTGCATTGTGTTACATCAGAGGTGGAACTGCTTGTGTCACATATTCACACATGTTTCCTCATCATGTGACCTTTGTGCTGTTGGCCGATTCTCAGTCTTACTCCATGTCTTTACCCACCCACCTCTTCTTATTCAGACTGGCTGTTATTGTGCCCAATCCTCAGAAAACACAGGTTATGTGTTGTGGTCTACTTCACAATAACAGGACAAGTTATGTGTTTGAATGGCTCTGTCCATTTGTCAGTCTGATACCACAGACCCAGACCTGGTTCCCTCAGGCTGAATAATCCCCCATGAAAAAAAGTCAGATCCTTTAGGAATTTCTGCTTAATCCTTGTATAATTACCTCGATTGAGTTTGGAGCGAGCCGGCTGAAATCTTTTAGTATGAAAGCGAGTGAAGAATCTGTTTTTACCCTGGATGACTTTGCCAGGGAAAGTCCAAACCAAGGGCCAAGTACTCCCTGTATCCATCCAACAGCCAGGAAAAACTGGTTCATCTCAACAAGGCCATGCCACAAGTCAGGGGATTTCAGGGAATCCAGAAAGTTAAAACCAGACAGGAAGTCACAGCTTCATCAGTTAGCTTCACTACTTTAAAAAGACTTTTGAAACTGTTTTACATGAACTGTGAGGGAAAAGTCTCTCTTCACTTAACCCCATAGGTGAAGTCAGGTGAAACTGCTCTTTAATATCCCTTTTTAGTGTGTGCAAAGAGTTCTGACTAGTGCAGACAAAACCTCCACTCTTATAGCCTTTGGTCAACGCCCTCGGGCAAAGATACAAAACACCAAAACAGACAGTTACCCATTATGCCAAGTTGGACTCTTTCAATGGAAAACTTTATCCAAACATTTCCAGAAATCGATCCCAACCGTGGTCATTGCGACCCAGCCCAGGACAATGTCCTCGCCAAGTCCTCTCGCTTGCCTAAACGTCAGATTGATAACTCTCTGAATGAACTCCACCCAAAGACAAAACACATCTATCCAATCACAGAACACAACATGAAATGCTTTGAATCTTGTCTACAAGGAAGGAGTCAGTGTGTTGGTTGCGTCATGTGGTCAAGTTATGCCACAGGGAAGTGTTCTTGGGTCATTGTGACTTAGAGCAAACAGTTCTTTACTTCACAAAACACCTTAGGTCACGATTTTCCTAAAAGTCGAACTTAAGTTTTTAAGACTTTTAAGAGATTCTTAAGTAGCATACTTAAGTAGAAAACTTGAGGTGCTTTGTGCAGTGGGCCCCAGAAAACTTGAGGTGCTTTGTGCAGTTGGCCAAGGTCCACACATACCCTGACCTCTAACCACTGTAAATCATCTGTTACTTGCAGGTCGTCAGTGAAATCTATCCGGTGTGGACGTACTCCTACCTGGTGTTGTTGTTCCCCATCTTCCTGGCCACTGACTATCTCTGTTATAAGCCTGTATTGGTGCTGCAGGCCACCAGCCTGGTAGTTACCTATGTCATGCTGCTGAAGGCACAGGGCGTACTGGCCATGCAGCTCCTAGAGTTCTTCTTTGGGCTGGCCACGGCATCCGAGGTGGCCTACTACTCTTACATTTACAGCGTGGTGGAGCCAACACACTACCAGAGAGTGACCAGTTACTGCCGCAGCATCACTCTGTTTGGGTCGGCTGCCGGCTCTCTAACCGGTCAGCTGCTGCTCTCTGTGGCCAAAGCTCAGCTGGTCCACCTCGTCATTGTCACTCTGACGTCGGCCGCCGTGGCCTTCATTGCTCCATGGTTCCTGCCCATGCCCAAGAGGAGCTTGTTCTTCCACAAGAACCTGGGAGCAGCGGAGGAGAGGCAGCGCAACAGCAGCTCACCCCTGATGGAGAGGGTGGAGGATGCAGAGAGCAAAGTGCCTCTGAACAGCCAGGAAGTCTCTGCAGTGAGTTACTTGCTGCTTGATTGATTGATTTATTTAATTTGTGTGAAGAAACTCTCTCAGTCATGTGTTCTACATCCAGGTTCTGGTATCCAGGAGCTCTGAGGCAGGAAGTCCCCACACTAGTCTCGTGGAGGTGTTGCGAATGCTGTTTGATGATTTCCTGCAGTGCTACAGATGTCGCCCCCTGCTGGCTTGGTCACTGTGGTGGGCTCTGGCCACATGTGGCTACTTCCAGGTCATCAACTACGCTCAGCCGCTGTGGGAGAACCTCCGTCCATCCCAGGAATATGAGATCTACAACGGCTACGTAGAGACTCTGTCCACACTGTTAGGTGAAGATGAGACTCTACGAGATTTACAAATGAATTGTGTTTGAGAATTAACTGCAAAACTCAAGGGTTACTTACTATCCCTTTCTGGGCTCAGTTGAGTTTAATCAAACTGGAAAAGGTTCCTGTCCCTTCGGACTCCAGTCAGTCTCCACACAGACATCTCTGAGGTGATGTATTAGTATTTCTAACAGTTGTTCTGTGTCCTGCTGGTCCTCAGGGGCCCTGGCAGCTCTGCTGGTGGGCTGCCTGCCTGTGAGCTGGTCTGTGTGGGGGGAGCTGGCTCTGTGTGTCCTCTCCCTGCTGATGGCTGTGTGTCTGTTTGTCATGGATACAGTGAGGAACATCTGGCTGTGTTACAGCTCATATGTCGTCTTCAGAGCCACGTACATGCTGCTCATCACCGTGGCTACGTGAGTACAAACAGTCTGTCATTAAAACAGATTAAATGCAGTTTATCTCAGTCATCTGAAACAGTTCTGTGGAAATGAATCTGAGGTTTGGATCCAGATTCTGTATCTGGAAAATTTGAAGTTTACTCAAAATGTTCTTGGAAACATTTGGTTTTCCATGTGTTTATGACTTGTCAAATCATCGCCAGCTCTTACTGTATAACAGAGTAAAGAAAGAGGTTTCCAGTGGGTGGATCATTCTGAGGTCCCGTAACATTTAGACACGGTTTGTCACCAACTGCAGCAGGTTTATTTTTTGTTCATTTCATACAATGATAGAGAGGACCACACCTCCCACACATCTGCTAAATGTCAGGCTTAACTAATCAAAACCTGAGACTTTCCCAGCAGGAAGCTGACCAACCACATTAAAGGTTGAAAGTTGGTTGAATTTAGGTTGTGACATCTGGTGACCAAAATTCAATGTGAGGACAACGTCTAATTCAACGTAGAATAGTGACGACGATATTTAGGTTTTTTTTGTTGCTGCAATTTAGAAATAATAAATAAAAATTAGGGCTGCACCATATGCAAAAAAATCATATTGTGATTATTTTTGGCAGATATTGTGATTTCACATGGAATGCTCATTTTTGCATTTCATTTCACTGAAAAACATTTAAAGTGATGATTTTTGTTCAGTCTTGTACCAAACAAACATGTTCCTTTACGTCTGGAGAATATGATTTGTAGGCCGGGGTGTCTCTGTAGCACCACAACACTCATGCTGCCAACAATACACAACAATTTAACACATTTTGCCTTTTATCAGAAAAAACAGCAGCTCTTGTGATTCAGATATTACACGTGGCCAAATTGAGATTTTGATTATATGTCGATTAATTGTGCAGCTCTAGAAGTAACACTATGATATAACTGTGGTTTGTCCTATTACCCTTTTTAAACACAGCAATATCCTAGACAAAGGTTCTTTGAAAAATAATGTCCATTATTATTTGCAAAAAGCAAAAAAGAATGACAAAAATACTTCAAACCATAATTTTGCACCCATAAAAGAGATCAACGCAACAGAACTAAACTCAAGTACTAACATACGTGAACTTAACAACAAACTGACCTTACTGAGTGAAACATAGTGGAACTGTATATAGTGGCTGATCAGGCTAAAACATAACCATTTAAATAAACTACAATAACCACAAAACGTGTCAGCATAGTGCTGCATCATATTAACTGAGGAAAAGTACTGAAACTAATAAACTCAAACAGAACTGTCAAAGAAATAATAACCAAAATCAAGCCGGGCACCTGCAGCAGCAAACCCCTCCCAGGAGCTGGTAACTCAAAGAAAACTTAATTAATTTCAAGACAAACAACTTAAATGTATGGAACTAATAAAACAAAACTGACAAAGAAAGTTAACTAAATATGTGCACTTCAAATAGATATCTATACTGTCAGATATCGCTAATAAAACTTTGTTATATCAAACCAAAACCTGTGCAATTATTTATCTGTTTGTATATGTATATATTAGTGTCGTGCTAAGAAAGACTTTAAGTAAATAAACAAATGATAAGAGTGAACACCATCTCTTGGTTCAATGTGATGTTGCACAATACTCTGCTAAGAAACCTGAGACATTAGCAACTAAACCTGCCGTGCTAGCTTTGTGTGCTCTTTTGTGAATGTGCATTGAGTGTGAACTGCTGGTGGTAAATAAGCATCACAGTGATGCAAGTTTTTGCATTGTGACTGGGTTGATGGAAAGGATGAAGGGTATGTTCAGTGTGGAAAAAGCTAGCTTAGTTTTTTCAGTACAGATTGTGTTTCAGAGACAGTTTCGCAGCAGCAGGCAGCAGAAGAAGAAGGGAACTTGTGTAACTGTGGAGCAGATTGCAGCAGAAACCACTGACTGTGATGTCTAAACGCCAGTGGGCTAATCTCTCTGTTTGTACAGACCAAAGGCTGATATGAGAGCTCCACAATAAGAAGCACATTGATCACAAAAATGTGCTTTGGAAAGTGTGGGAAAACTGCTGAGTCGCCTCCACCAAAACAAACATGAGCTTAAACAAATTTGAGGCTGCAGCATGATGAGGGATTATTGAGTCTGTATTCTGCAGAGGCTGTGGGTGGATGTGGAACCTCTACACCACCTTGAACGACTGTTGTACTGTAGTGTGTTGTCTCTGCATTGTGACTGTATAAATGTTTCCTGTGGTCAGGTATCAGATAGCGGCCAGTCTCAACATGCAGCGCTACGCCCTGGTGTTCGGAGTCAACACCTTCCTGGCTCTGCTGCTGCAGTCTCTGCTCACGGTGGTGGTGGTTGACTCAGCCGGCCTCGGCCTCGACGTCTTCACACAGGTGAGGAAGCGCAACAAGCCCCAACCCTCCTTGTAACGAGCCACCTGTGGATTTTGACAAACAGCTGTCCTGTTTGCTCCCCTCAGTTCCTGATCTACGGCAGCTACTTCATCGTCATCTCCATGGTCTTCCTCGCCGCTGGGCTTTGGAAACTGGCCTCCAGGAGGCGCTCAGAGCAGGAAGTCCTCGCCAACGGACAAGCAGAGGCAGACTCTCCTCCAATCAGTGATGCAGGTGCCTGCACATAGAACACACTAATACTGACAGACAAAAGCGCCAAAGCTGAGAGAGCACAGTGACTCCACCAGGTGAGCTTCAGTCAGTAGAAAGTAGAAGCTGTTTCCTGTTTCTGTGTCTGCATCTATTAAAACACCACAAGCTGCCTGACACACAGCACAGGTTCATTAGCATTATACTGTTGTTATGGCTACCCTGTTCACATCCCATAGCTGTGGAGCAGGTGTAGAAGTTGAATAATGCTAGTCAGGCAGTGTAGAGTGAGCTGCCCCCTGCTGGTTACGCCTCAATGACAGAATCCAGCTGTCAAGAGACTGAACGCTGCAGACAATCTGCAGTACAGCTGCACATCTGGATGATTGACACATCTGCACTGCTCCTTTAACATTAGAGCCATTTTCTATGATAAAGACTGGGGGTGTAACAGGACAAAAAACTCAAACTTCAGCACGTACCTCAGTTTTTAATTCATGGTTCAGTTTGTTTTCAGAACAAGAGATCATGCCTTTAACTTGAAAAGAGAAAGTGGTATTAATTTCAAATCGGATGACTTGTTTCTTGAACACAAGTAATGCCCATAAAGGCACATTTCTTTTAAGTTATATTTTGGCCATTTTATGCCTTTATTGACGCTGACAGGACAGTGAGGAATGAGGAAATAGACAGAGAAAAAGGAATGACATGTAGCAGAGAGTTCAGCCAGGAGTCGAACTGGGGACTCGCCTCGATACACAGTTCTTTAAATAAGTAAAACTTTATTTATAGAGCATTTTCGGAAACCTGGTTACAAGGTGCTGTACAGCTAAAACATTTAAGAAATACATAAAAATATGAAATAATCTAAAACAATAAGAGAAAACATTAAGGGCATCTGAAACAGGTGAGTTTTCAGCAGCTTCTTCAAACTGTCAGCTGAGAGGAAGGAGAGGGAGAGGGTGGGTTCTGACGTCAATAGAAATAAATAATATAATAATAAAATAAAGATCCATTAAAGTGCAGCATTTTTTACCTTTATTTTGCTAGTCACAGTGAAAGAGAGAGAGAGAGACAGGAAGAGAGAGATTTTGATTTGTAATGTAAGACATAAATACACCATGGTACAATACATTAGTACATGTGTTTACAAGAGAGAGAGAGAGCTAGCTAGCTAGCTAGCTATGTGAGGATACATGCAGCTGTATGACTTGATTCACGAACACAATCAGAAGTTCACACTTAAACCGTGCACGTAACTTGCTGGAACTAACAACCTTTACCGAACAGCACAGATACGCACTGTTACCTCCCTAATAAAGACCAATGACCATATGTCCATGTGTGTCATGCCCCAGCTGACTGAAGCTGACGCCTTAGACCTGATATAAAAACTAAGTAAAGATAAAAACACATTCTTGTATTATCTATGTATCATGTCCTCCTGTAATCACACAGACTATAACTGATACGTGTTGGTAATGATAACCTGTGTCTACCACTGTGACTCATGGGTTTGTGTATCTGTATCACCGCTGAATCAGTGTGCCTTAAGTTTATGAACTTTTTCAGGGAATTCCAGGAGAAGTTTCTTGTTGTCAACAAAAACCATGAAAAGAGCTGAACCAGAAGTGAGTTAAGTGAGCTGTCTGTTGCTCTCAGCTCTGAGCCCTATGCTTCCTGCTGATGATGTAACTGTAAGAATAAACAGTTTGTCAAACAGGAAGAAACAGAGCATCTTTTGGTGACTATTTTTAGCAGCGGATTAATCCTCATCTGGTGCTAAAGTAAGTGTTTGAGACAGCAGGACGGTGTCAGAATAAAGTATGACTCACATGGGGTTTGTTGATGAGAAGAAAAATCACCAGATGAATGTTTTGAATTAAAATTTTCTTACATCAACCAAATGAATTCTGAAGAAAAACCAAACATCTTACAAATATAAAGTATAAACACCTGCAAAATTCTCCTCTAACAATGATGTGATAATTATAGAAGAGTGACAAAGCCATGTGATTTTTTTTTTTTTTTTTACAGTTCTGACTTTACTCTCAGAATTCTGACTTTATAGAAAAGAGTGTAACAGTGTGTGTACAGGATATTTTAAAGATGGCCACCCTCAGTGCTCTGACCAACAGACACACATTGTGTTCCTATTAATGTCATAAACCGAATTAATGTGTTGCTTCATATCATATCAATGGATTTGAAACTTTGTGATTGTCACTTCAACATGAACTTTATTGGTACAGCAGGACGGTGAAAGTCAC